CTCCCAGAAGAAGCAGAAGTGAAGTGAGCAGGAAAGGTGCTGGATGGTTTTTTTTGTGTTTCTCTCTTCTCTCCCTCCCTCCTGTCTTCCCCAGCGATCCTCTTCACCCTGGGCTTCCTCGTGCTGCTGCTGAGCACCCTGGCCATCGTGTTCCAGCCTGCTGGCCCCAAAATGAGCCCCCTGAAGAGCTGGAAGCCACGATGGAGGAGCCTGGGGGAGCCACACATCCCACCAGAGTACATCCTCCTTGAGGACAGGTAAAGACCAGCCTCTCTACAAAAAATCTACCCAAGAAACCCATCCTGGGCAGTTTGGTGCTCCAGGATTTGGGGAAACAAAGGGCCTGACCTGGGTTCCTGGAGGCCTTTGACCCACACACCACACGTTGACTTCCTTGTTGACCACAGCCCCGTTATCAGCTCGCACCTCCCTGGCGCCGCTGGCAAAGGTCAGCCCCAAATACTTTGGGCTTTCCAGGGGAATTCAGGAAGAGCTGGGCACAAGGAGAACCTTCTGCACCTTATCTGTGTTTGCCTTGCCAAGAAATGGGTTTATTGGCAGCTTTTCTGCCTGTCTGGCTCCCAGAGGTGTGGGTTGGGAAGGATGGGAGGAAGGGTTGCTCGCTCTGCGGTGCTGGAGGAGCGATGGATGCAGCAGATTCCTCCCAGGGAGCAGGGCAGATTTGGAGGTATTTTTGGGCTCTGATTTGTCAGAACTTGCACTGACTGGCAGATGGGTGAGGGGGAGATTGTGAGTTGAGGCCTGTTGCTTGCGGTGGATAAAAATGGAATTTCCATGTCTGACTTGTTCAGGGTTTAATGCTCCCAAACAGCACAAGGCAACAAGGAAAAACAAGTTTCTTCTTCCTTAGTTTGTGTTTCTTCCAGTTCTTCTAATGACTGGACTGGAAACCTGATTTATTTTAAGACAAGATTTTGTCCTGCCTAATTTCTTCTCCTTGTACAAAATATGGACACCAATTTCCCAGGACATGAACAGCTAAAAACTTCCAAGATTCTCATGTAATTTTCACATAAACAGAGGGAATTCTCACTCTGTGACCACCAGCACGTGAATCTTATTGGGAAATCCCAATAGCCCTTGGCTTCTTTGGGTACCACAGTGAAAAAATACATTTTGGTCATGTTTTTGTTCAATTCAAAATATTTACAGCAACAAAAAAAGCTGCATAAAACCAAGTGGAGCAACTTTAAAATTGCTTGTGAGTATTTCTGAGATCAATGAGCCCCTGGGTGGTGCAGAGAGAAAATCTCTGCCCTTGATAATGAGGTTTTACAACCTGTTTTATTTTTTCAGGAGAAGCCTTGAGGAAGTAAGGTTTATCTGTAGGTTTTACAGTTTTACACACGTTTCTAATCGTGGTAGATATCCAAGTGCTCAGCACAGCAAATCAGCAGGACTGATGAATCAACAGGTCTGTGAGTGCTGGGCCAGGGTCCATCACGTGAAGATAGGAGCTATCTCAGGGGTTATAAAGTGAATTAGAGAAGCAGGTGGAGTAAAAGATAAAAGCACTATGAACCTGTTAATTGAACACTTCAACAGTGCCAGAAATAGAATTACTGTGTGAAAGATGAATTAGCTCGGGGCTGCAGCTCATTCTCGTGCCAAAGTGTGATTTGCCAGGCAGGCCTGTGCCTGTGAGCATCACAGGGAATTTATCAGGTAGCCTAATATTTTAATATATTAATTTATCAGGTAGCCTAATACAGGAGTATTCCTGCCTCCAGAGTGCTTTCCTGTTGCACTGTGACATTCACATTCTCTGGACAGAGAGACAGAATTCTGTCTCTCAGGAGAAGTGCAGAGACAAGAAGAGAAAACAATCTTTATCTCTGCTCCTTGATTTTCCCTATGTGGAATTTAGTATAGAGATTATTTACCTGAAGAGATTGCTTGATTAGATTCTAGTAAAAGTTGTTTAAGTTCAATAACCAATCAGACCCAGCTGTGTCTCAGGCTCTCATCAGGCATCATGAGTTTGTGAGTTAGAAGTTAAATAAGTAAGAAGTATGTATGTAAAATAAAATAGTATCTCTTAAAATAATATATTAATGTGTTATAGTATAGTTTTAATAAAACTATCCTTCAGCTTTCTAAAAAAAAAAAAAAAAAAAGGTGAAAAAACACTATTTGTATATTGTTTAGACCAATAAGTTACTGCATTTTTATATCTCTTTAAAAATTCTCACAAGCTGCTGTGAGAATCAGACCCAGCTGTGTCTCAGACTCTCAGCAGGCAGTCATGAGTTTGTGAGTTAGAAGTTAAATAAGTAAGTAAGAAGTATGTATGTAAAATAAAATAGTATCTCTTAAAATAATATATTAATGTAGCATAATTAATGTACTATAACAGTTTTATTGTTTAGTGTGTATTATACAACATTAATGTACTATAGCAATTAATTGATTGTTATAGTATAGTTTTAATAAAACCATCCTTCAGCCTTCTGAAAAAAAAGGTGAAAAAAACCTACTTGTATAATAAAAACACTACTTGTATAAAAACACTACTTGTATAATTACTTATTATTCTAATAAATTATTACATTTTTATGTCTCTTTAAAAATTCTCACAAGCTACTGTGAGAAACAATTGCTGTTTCTCTCTCCCTGTTCCGGTTGGTATCTACACACTGAGACCATGATTTCAGGAATGAGGCACTGGCTGTCTCAGGGCTCGACCCAACAAATTCAGGGTATCACCACAGAGTGACCCAACCAGGCTCCAAGGTCAGTTCCAAGTTTTTCTTCCCCCAGCATGTAAAACTCTTTATCTGGAATACCTGGGGGCAGCCTAAGTGCCACCAGCAGCACCAGGAGCTCTCTGTGGCACAGGTGCCACTCTGGCAGTGGGACAACAGCTTCACCTGAAGGATAAAAGCAGCAGCAGCTCATTTCACTCCCCAGAGCTCCCCAGGGAACCCAGAGCCTCACAGCAGCGCCTGATGCTCTCCAGGAGAGGCTGAACTTTGCAGAGGATGTTGAAAAGGGCTTTTCATTCTCTGCCAAGAGAGCACAACTAAAAAAATCCCACGGAAAACCCGTGACCTCTCTCCAAATGCCGAATGAATTGACCCTGCACTCCATCTCTCTTATCAGCAGTTCCAGGGAGCTCTCCTGATATGAGGGAATTTCACTGCTGTGAAATTCCCAGACTGAGCTGGGCTTTCAGGAGCTTCCACGGCAGCCTGGAAAATGAGCAGTCAGCAGCAAATACTTCACAAGTGCAATAAAACCCTGTGGTTGCACCACTCCTCGTTTTATTAGGTCTTTCCAAGAAACTGCTAAGAGAAACTCTGGTCTTTGCATTGATATCCTTTGGGTTTGTAGGGGGGAAAAAAGAACCCACAATATTTTTAAACTCTGTTTTCTTTTTTTTTTTTTTTTTACTTAAAACTGAAGTTAAGAAAACAAGAATGAGGGAAAAAAACCTTAGAGGAAAATTCCACATAGGTATCTTTGGTTTGGTTTAAACTAAACCAATTTACTCATTGAAATATTGCTACAATAAGAAATTTGACATAGTTTATTTACTGCTGCCTGCCACCCTGCCTTTTCTGGAGCCACAAGGCACAGAGAGCTTTGTCACCTCTTGGGGACCAGGTTTCCCTTGGGTATCAGAGATTCTTACCTCCATGGAAGACTGTTATGAATATATCTGCTGAAAACCTAAAAAACAAAGCAAGGATGGGCTTTTTTCAACGCCACATTTTCCCACAGGCAACCACAATGACCTGCAGGGGTGTTGCGGTGTTTTCCTGCCTGTTCCCATTCCCAAAAATCCCTTTGAGCTGCCAGGAAGCCCCAAAATTCTCCCAGGGTGAAACTGTAAAGGAAGTTGAATAAACCTTTTGTTTTTTGGAGCAAGCTTGGAAAACGTGGAATCACCAACAGGAGTGGCAAAATCCTGGAGTTCCTCTGGATCCAGCAGTGGAAGCAAAGCTGAGAACTTCTGTCCAGGCTCCTGGGCACCCAAATCTCACTCTTGACCCCCACTCTGGGGTTATGAAAGGAGCAAACTCAGCTTTGTGCCGAGGAACATTGGCAAGCACATTTCTCTCCCTCTCAGAATTTTTCATAGAGGTGCACAGAGAGAAATGAAAGAGAAAACAATTTCTATTTCTGCTCCTTGTTTTTCCCATGTGGAATGTGTGTGGAGAATTGTTTCCCTGGGGTGATGCTTGGTTGGATTCTGGTGAGGATTGTTTGAGCCTGGTGGCCAATCCAACCCACCTGGGGCTGGGCTCTGGAGAGGGGCACGAATTGTGTTAAAGTCAGAGAAAGTAGTATGGAGTTTGAGTATACTCCTTTTATATAGTATATTAATGTATTTTAGCATAGTTATAATAAAGAAATAATTCAGCCTTCTGAATTGAGTCAGACATTGTCGTTTCTTCTCATTGGGTTCATCTGCATTTACAATAAGGAACCAGCAAGGAGTGGGCTCACCCAGCCCCTGACACATAAATAAACCTGTAAATACTGCACTGAGAGGAGACCTGGCCTTGCCAGCCTCCCTGGGGGTTGCCGAGGGACTGTGCTGGCTCAAATCTGGTGTTGCTGCCCTCCACCTGGAGATCAGAGATGAGGAGCAGGGGATTCTGCTCCTGGGCCACAGAACAATTCCCTCCTCACAGCCCTGCTCTTACACACACAGGGCAAGAGAAGCAGAATGGTAGGAGAGATATTAAAACATTAAAATCAGACTCACAGAGCACTAGACAGCAGCAGCTATCCCTGCAGGAATAGTTTCAGTGTATCTTGACTCAGAAAAATCACATTTGTAGAGACCTTTGAGGTCTCTGCCAGCAGAACTTACTGAGTGTGTTTAAAACACACACAGGCCATGTAGGGGTGCTGAGCAAGGCTTAAAAAGATGTTAAAATGCTTTAAAAACTCACAAATATCTTTTACATCAGAGATCAGAAAGGCTGCACAGAGCACGTTGGTAAAATGAGATTCTGATGCCACACGTCTTCTGTTTATTGCTTTATTGACTTAACAACAAAAACCACAAAAACAGCAACACCAATGACTTCAGCCTCCTTCTCCAGCCTACAAATGATTGAAAATCCACAGCAAATGTGAAAATATTTCAAGGTTAAGCAAAAAGAATATGGATTCCTCATCACATATTTGACCAAATGCATCCTTAATTAAATCTGTGTCTGTTCTGACACTTCAGGTAATGCTGCTCTGGCCCAGACACCCCCTCCCTCCCCAGTGCAACCTCATCCATCGCCCAGGATAAGCTCAGCTCCTCCAGGAAAGGAGCTGGTGGCTGTTTTACTGTGCAGAACATGAAATACTCCTGCTCCTGTCCCTTCAATGCTCTGAGAATGCAGCTCCTCTTTACTCCAGCTGCAGGGTTCATCCTGGGAATCCAGCAGTCACTAGAGGCCTGAGCTCCCCAGGCTGGTTTGATGTTTGCTGTCTGATAGAGAAGTTCAGAATAAAAACACAGTGGAAATTTGTAGGAATATAAAGTGGTAAAAGACTTTAAAAAATGCAAAAAGGCCCCAGAAAGTAGACATAAAGCTGAGAAAGGCTGGGAAATTTCAACACCTTTTCATGGGAAGCTAGGAAGTTAAGAACCAAGTGAATACATTTGTATTTCTCGTAAGGAACAAGAAAGAACAATAACTTTTTGATAGTTTGAGATGTGAAAAGTCCTAGAGATATGCTTTGCAAAGATAGAAAAAATTTCAGTCTTAAATAATGAATTATTGTGTGTTGTTTCAGGTTCACAGAAGTCCTTTTGTTAATATTGAACCCACGTGGGTCCTTTTCTTATTGGTTAGAATATAATGACTTTACACCTTTTCTTTTGTGCTATTGGTTCAAAGAATATGTAAAAAAAAGCTTTGCATAAGCTGCCATCTTGTCTCTGATCTGGATTTGCATGGATGTTGTTGCTTCTCTGTGTCTCTTGCTTTTTGCTTGTATGATACAGATAATAAATCCTAAATTTGCAACCAGTCAGGATCCAATCCCATTTGTGAAACACAAACCGATCCAGCAGAGAAATTCAGTGGACACCCGGAGCCACCAGTGCAGCCAAACCCAAGGGGAATAACCCAGGGCAGGACCTGCAGCAGCCAGGCAGCTCCAGGCCTTTGCAAACCCACTGCATCTGAATTTCAAAATAATGCAAATGATCCTCCCATAATTACACCAACTCCACACCGTTATTAATTCCAAACACCGAGCGTCACGGCCTGAAAAATTCAGCAGCTGCTGGAGGAAAATGTTCAGCTCAAAAAAAAATCCTGCTTATTTTAACTTTATTTACTGCCCTAAACCAGCAGATATTAATAAAACCAGCTGAATTACCTGAATTGCCAAGGGCTGAGGCTTGCTGCAGATTCAGCAAAGCTTCCTTGATCTCACAATGGGTCTTGGCAAGGGGGGAAGCTGCTACCAGACCCTCTACCTGGAGATCTAAACCTGTAAAAAAATGTGGCATTTTTAAGCCCAAAGAAAGAGGCTCCTCATGGCTGCAAGGAGAAAATGTTGTCCTGGGCACAGGGAGTCACCAGGAGCAGGATTCTCAATTTTCAAATCTCAATTCCCCTCCACAGGAAGAAGATTCACCTCAATTCTGTGAGGATCACAGAATGATGGTGTAGAATCTTCCTGGCCTCTCCAAATTAGCATTTAATTACTATAATGACATCCTAACTCTTCCCTACAGGTGGTCACTTAATATAAAGGTGGCTGCTCTGAGCTGGCATCTCAGCACAAAAAAAAAAAAAAAAAAAAAAAAAAAAAAAAAAAAAAAAAAAAAAATTGAAAGTAAAAAATAAAACAAATGGGGAAAAGTAATTCTGCATTTGCTGTGGTAGCAAACATAGCCACCCCCTTTTACCCTCCTAGCACGGAATCAGCCTCCTGAAAGCACCTCACAGCTGGGGCACTGCCCTTACCATGCTCTTCATGCCCAGGCAGGCTGGAAAAAGCATCTTTCCTGCTGAACAGCTCCCAAAGCTGAGGCAGCTCAGGATCCTGCGGGATTAAAAGGGTTCAGAAGTTAAAGAAATGGAAAAACTCCCAGAAAGGTGAAAGATGGCCCAAAACCAGACACCTGCAGCTCACCTGCCCTTCTGATTTCTTCTCACTGGCCAGGCTGTGCAGGGAGGGCACAGCTCCCACTGGAGCCTGTGATTGGATCTTGAGCTCCACCTCTGGATTTGCAGCTCTGCTCCTCTCAGGAGTGTCCCCAAGCAGCGCTTCCAGAGCTCTCATTAACTCTGTCACCTCTTGCCACGGGTCACCTGAGGAACCCAACAGGAAATTTCAATGGGATTCCCCAGAACCACTTGGAAAACCACGATTAAATCCAGAACAGCACCAAAAGCAGGAGCCTTTCCTTGGTAATTTCTCAGGATGCCTCATTTCATACAACATTTCCAAATAACTCTGCGCTCACCAGATGCCTTATGCAGGCTGGCCTAGAGCAGAGCTGGGCAGAGCTAAAGAATAAAGCAGGGATTTATTCAAAGCATCTCCTCCATGGATCCACCTTGGGCAGCACCAGAGCCCAGCCAGGGCTGCACCCAAGGTGAACCAAAATGGTCCCAAAATGAACCCAAGATGAACCAAAATGGTCCCAAAATGCACGAGCGCTCCCGGGGGCTCTCCCTGGGATCAGTTCTGCTCCATTGGCACCTTGGAGTTCATTGTCCCATTCCAGCTTTAGCCCAGGCAGTCCCACCCTGCTTGTTTTTCTCTCTCCAGCCCACGGTGTTTGTGCTCCTGGGCTGAGATTTGGATCATTTGTCCTTGGTGCCCAGCTGGAGCAGGAATTGTTTTATCTCCCTGATCTGTGCAGAGAGCTCAGCATCCCCTCATGTGAAGCCCAGACCCACACACTGAAACAGGACAGAATGTGAAAAACAGAAAATCTAAACCTAAGGCATCACACCCCTCCCTGAACTGCCAGACCTCTCCTCTCACTGAGCTCAGGTGCAGACAGGCTGTCAGCTCTTACAGAACAATTTTTGGGCTCTCTGATGTGGATGAGTCAGGCATTTTTTTAGCCTCATCCATGCTGCTGCTGCCCTCACGCTGCGCCTGTCCCTGGCTCTGCACCCTGCTCCTCTCACCTGGCTGGAAGTTGTTGTTCCAGTGTCCCTCGCTCAGCTCAGCACCCACTGCTGCCTCGCTCTGCTCTGCAGCTTCCTGCCCACAAATCCCTTGCCTGGAAAAGGTTTTCAGGGCTTCCCAGTCCAGAGCTTGCACCATGTCCTGTTAACAGAAAGCAGTGGTGTTATATTTTGCAAACTCCAGAATCCACATTCAGCCTCTCATATAATGATGCCTTGTGCAGGCTGACCTACAGCAGAGCTGGGCAGAGCTAAAGAATAAAGCAGGGATTTATTAAAAGCATCTCCTCCATGGATCCACCTTGGGCAGCACCAGAGCCCAGCCAGGGCTGCACCCAAGATGAACCAAAATGGCCCCAAAATGCACGAGCGCTCCCGGGGGCTCTCCCTGGGATCAGTTCTGCTCCATTGGCACCTTGGAGTTCATTGTCCCATTCCAGCTTTAGCCCAGGCAGTCCCACCCTGCTTGTTTTTCTCTCTCCAGCCCACGGTGTTTGTGCTCCTGGGCTGAGATTTGGATCATTTGTCCTTGGTGCCCAGCTGGAGCAGGAATTGTTTTGTCTCCCTGCTCTGTGCAGAGCTCAGCATCCCCTCATGTGAAGCCCAGACCCTCACACTGAAGCAGCACAGAATGTGAAAAGTATAAAACCTAAAACCTGAGGCATCAATAAAACCATATAAAAATTATTTTATGCCAAAATAAACTACTGAAAGGAGTAATACCCATCCTTTGATGAACTTTCCCTTCAGGGCAACCATTTATCTTAAGATTTTCATGGTTCCAAGGCTCCCTTCCCTCAAATGCCTCTCCCCACTGACCACGAGGCTCTGGATCCTCTGGCTGATCCCGTTGTGGAACACCAACACGTCCATCCTGTGCTTTGCCAGCTGAGAGGCCAAGTGCAAATTCTGATCCTCCAGCTTGTCATAGAGGGTACGGACACTGAAATCCTCCAGGAGCCTGGGTGTGAAGCTGTTTTCTGAAACACGAGGGGAAGGCTCACACTCAAACACTGGACACGAGGTTATTTGAGTTTATTTCCCACACAAGATGCTGCCTGGCCAGAGGAATTTTGTGTTCTGTGAGGAAGGAAAACGGATGAGGCAGGAGATGTGAGAGAAGTTCTCGTTCCCTAGCGAGGGGGAGGATGACAGAGCGTTACTATCAGCTCCTAAATTGTCCAGAAATCTGCCAGAGCTGTTCCTGAGCTGTTCCCAGCATCACCACCTGCTGCCATCTGCTGGGCTCGGGCTCTGTCCCTGTGAGCATCCCGAAATTCCCGAGCCCAGCTCATTCCCAGAAAGTCCTGTGCCTTCAGGGAACAGAATAACCAGCAGAGGAAGCCAAGGAAAACATTTGAAAATCTTTATTTTCTTCACCTGTCTCCTGAACTTGCTGTTGTTTTGAAGGGCTTGTCAAGGCTGGGAATTCACTCTCAGGGAAAAATCTCCAACCCATCCCAATGACAGGGGGTTAAATTCCCTGGAATAAACCCAGGGTGGAAGCGTGTGTGCCTGTGGAAATGCAGACAGCAAAGTGCCCGTGTGGCCTCCTGAGAGTGCAGGAAATTCTGGGTGAGCAGGTGTCAAAATATTGCACCAAGAGAAGACAATGGGGAGGAAATGTGGAAAAAACCAATGGGAGAACACCTGGGGCTGGCCCAGCACGTCACCTGCAGTGGGCACTGCTCCTTTCTCTCCAGAGCCAGCATCTTCCCCAGATCCACGAGGACCGAGAGTCTGGTAGAACTTGAGGCTGGAAAGAATAGCAAAGAGGGTGAAGAGCAGCTCGGGAAGATCAGAGCCCCGCTCAAGGATGGGTTTCTTGGGTAGATTTTTTGTAGAGAGGCTGGTTTTTACCTGTCCTCAAGGAGGATGTACTCTGGTGGGATGTGTGGCTCCCCCAGGCTCCTCCATCGTGGCTTCCAGCTCTTCAGGGGGCTGATTTTGGGGCCAGCAGGCTGGAACACGATGGCCAGGGTGCTCAGCAGCAGCACGAGGAAGCCCAGGGTGAAGAGGATCGCTGGGGAAGACAGGAGGGAGGGAGAGAAGAGAGAAACACAAAAAAACCCATCCAGGACCTTTCCTGCTCACTTCACTTCTGCTTCTTCTGGGAGAAGCTGGGGCAGGTGGATGAGGAGCAAAATGTTTTCAGGACTGAAGGATCCAGTTTGTAACTTTTATAGATAAAATATATATTATTATATATTAGTATTATATATATTTTATAGATTAAAATAAATATATAAAATAGCTATAAAACAGACATAAAATAGTATTTAATATTGTATTATATCACATATTAGCAATATATATTATATATTATATATAATGTATAATTATATATCTTATATACAAATTTAGTATAACTATAACTATAACTATAACTATAACTACAACTACAACCATAAATAGAAATAGAAATAGAAATAGAAATAGAAATAGAAATAGAAATAGAAATAGAAATAGAAATAGAAATAGAAATAGAAATAGAAATAGAAATAGAAATAGATAGAAATAGAAATATATTATATATAATTTCTAGAGTCAGGATCATGCTTGCACACCACACTTTCATTTCTGTTGAATCCTGGCCTCCCATTGAAGGACTGGTGTGTGCACAGATCTCACACCCACACCTGCCTTGGAGCAGACATCTCACCTGACCTTCTGTTTAGCTTTTAGTCAGCTTGGGAATGATGGATTTCATTTCAGCTCGGTTTATCATGGAAATACACTGTCATTTTCCGCTTTCCAGCCAAGGAGAACAAAGCCCTGGGTTACCTGAACTCTTCAAGCAGGGCGTGGGGAGAAGCACAACTGCTCCTTCCCTCTCAGCTCCTGCACAGGCAGCAGGAGGAATTTTGGAATTTGGGAAGCTCCACAGCAGCAAGGAATTAAAGCTGACAAAGCAGTGCTTTGGTGGCATTTCCAAACAAAACGCTTGTTTAAACACCTTAAAGAGGACAAGAAAGGTCATGGGTAAGAACGGAGGTTGAAGGTGGGTGTCTCAGAGCTTTGGCTGTACCTGTGATAGCAGCCCAGTTGGGAGCCAAGTTCAGGTTCTGCTGCTTCAAAATGCCGTGTCTGGCCAGCTGGAACAGGGAGGAAGGCTGGAAGAACCCGTCCCCAGGGTCACAGCTCACGTTGGCTTCGTGCACTGTCACAATCAGGAAGCGCTCCTGAATGGAGCTGTCCCTGAAAACAAACGTCCCAGGCTCCAGGAAAACATGGGCAAACCTGGAAGAGAGAAGTGAGGGAGGTGCCAGCTGATCCAAGCTTCCTTCAGGCTCCATCTGTGAGGATGGTTGAACAAAGGCGCTTGAACACAGCAAAATCTGGAATTTTCACCACCAAGGACCTGCTGATTCTGTCAAAAACTCACTCTCAGGTCCTGCCCACAGCACTGCTGCCCACAGCAGGTCTTACCAGGAGATGTTGAGCTGAGTCTCCTGGATCAGGTGGTCCAGCCTTCGGAAGGGTCCGAAATCCCAGCCTGGGTTGTTGTTGTAGAGATGCTGCTTCTGGTAGACGGGGTAATGGCTGGAGGCACGCTCTGGGATGGGGCAGCACAGGGTCAGCAGCTCTGAGCCATCTCAGCTGGGAAAGCTGGCACTGGGCAGGCAAAGAGCTGTGGGACTGCTTTTACAGGGCCACGCAGTGTCAGCTCGTTTAACTGAGATTTATGCTGTCTAACACAGAACCAATTTTATCCCACTCTACAGAAATCTAGCCAAAAAGTGAAAACTCACAGGTCAGCCCCTGGCAGAGTCCAGGCTGCAGTTCTGGGAGCCAGGAGGTGAAGGGATGCATCCATGCAGGGTGCCCAGCATGGAGCCATTGCTCTGAACGGGTCTGGACACACAAATGTGCTCAGCCCCAGCCACACTCACCCTGGGAATTGATGCTGAGCTGGAAAAGGATGGTGTCCCCTGCTTCCAGACACACCACGGGGTTAGGGATGAAGGGCAAGGCCTGGCTGTCTCTGGGGGAGCTCCTCTGGGCTCTGCCCCCTTTCAACAGCAGCTGATCTGAGGAAAAATCTCCTGCCACAGGCAAGAGAAGAACCAGAATGAACCCTGAAAAGTGAGCAGGATGTGACAACACCCGACTCTCAGCAAGGAAGAATGATATATTTAGTATTATTTATTTGTAATTGTGTGCAATTACAGTTCACAAAGCCAAATCCACACACCTGCCAACAGATTTGCCTCCAAAGGGAGTTTCCTTCTAGCTCCTTGGAGATCTCAAATCCTGCAATCTCCATCTGACCCCTTCCCAGGGAGTTACCCATGCAGCCAGTGAATTCCCCACTGTTTACTCCCAGGCAGAGCAAGAATTTCCCTGCTTTCTAAATAGTCTGGAGCATCTAATAATGAATTCCCTCTGTGCCAACTTGCTGTCCAGTAGCTATGCTAGCATGAGAGGAAATGGATGGCCAGGTGGGGCTGGAATTGGGGTTCCCTCTCAAGGCTTACCCATGAGAAATGCATCCAGAACTTCTGTGCTGGAGACAATGAACCCCAGCACTCCCTGGGGGCTGAACAGAACCAAATGCACCCTCTGGCTGCTCTGCAGGTGCTCATCAGGGCCCAGAACGTTTGACACCTCCTGTGGGAAGCAGAGGGAACTCTGATTCAATCAATCCTCGTCTGTTGTCAACCTTCAGTGCAGCTGTAAAAGGCTGCTCTAGGAGTTTTCCCCCTCTAATTCAGGAATTGTGGTTTCTCTGTAATGCAGCAACCCTTAAGCTCCCCTGGAGGAGTTCCCTCACCCCACTGTGATTTCTGGGCTCTCCCAGACCTGCACATTTAGACAGCAATCCCTCCCTCCACACCTACCCTCACTTGGCCCCCGCTCATCCTCAGCAGCAGCTCTCTGTGGGTGCCAAAGCCCAGGGAGATCCGTGGGGCTCTCAGCAGGCACAGCTGGTCACAGAGCTCCTCAGCAGAGATGTACTGCTTGCAGTGACATCTGAAAAAAGGGACAAATCCTTGGTCAGTCCTGTTCCCTCAGCAAAGAGCTACAACAGAGCCCCACTCTCTCACAGCCCACAGGGTGGATGATCCTACTCTGTATCCATGGGAAAAAGGATGGAGCAAACTCGCTGTCCATCTTCATCAGCACCGTGCCTGCTCTTCAGAGCCAAAATGTGACACCCCACCAGCAGTGCTTGGCTAACAGAGACCACCCTCAGTCCTGTGACAGAGCACCACACCCCTCCCCAAAGCTCAGCTCCAGCAAAATGGTTGAAAGAATCAGAGGATAATTTTGACACAACAGATTTAGCCTGGAGAAAAGGAGACTCAGGGGTGATCTTGTCACTCTCTACAACTCCCTGAAAGTTGTTTCTGGTCAGGTGGGGTTGGGCTCTTTCTCCAGGCAGCACTGACAGAACCAGAGGACACAGCCTCAAGCCAAGGGAAAGACAGGCTGGATAATAGGAAAAGGTTTTTTACAGAAAGGGAGATAAAGTTCTGGAATGGCTACCCCAGGAAATGGTGGAGTCACCATCCCTGGGTGTGTTTAAAACAAGCCTGGATGGGCCACTGGGTGCCAGGCTTCAGTTGCTGTGTTGGTGTGTCCTGGGGTGACTTTATGATGCTCATATCCCCATTTGTCTGCTTAGCTCAGAAATAAGTTTTTCACCTCTAAGACTGGTTCTGAGAGAGAAGGGTGGAAGAAGAAACTCACAGTTTGTTTTCAGAAATTGCACTCACTCCTCCACATTCCTGCTCCTGGACTGTGCTGTCTGCAGATGGACAGACAGCACAACAGAGCTCTGCTTTGCTGTTAGTTAGTTTTTAGCTATCTCAAGCAGAGAAATTCCCTAGACTGTGACTTTCGTTTTTCTTGCATTTGCTTTCTAGAAAAAAAAACCAACAAAAAACCTTTAAAAGTTTTCTCCCAAATTTGCCCTAAACCAAGACACAGAGCTGGGTTGGACTCGATGATCTTGAAGGTCCCTTCTGTTGGAACTCAAAATGTCCCTCAGACATTTTTGGAGGTTCCAGGCCCAGGTCAGAAGCATTTGAGACCCTGGCAGGCAGCTGGAAACAGCTGTGATTTTGAGTTTGAGCCATGGAATGATTTACCAACCTTGCAGGAAGAACAAGAAGTCACAAAAGTTTAGATATTATAGTAGAAGTAGTTACAAAGTAGAGGGAAGTATTTTTTAGTATCGTACAAGGGGGTTTTAACACCTGTACAGGGGGGTTTTTACTTTGTACATGGGGGTCAGAAGTTTTAAGATGGAGGAATGTAGGCCGGTCCTGTTCCTCCTCTTTCTTCTTCCTTGCCTCCATGTTCTTGGTGATGTTGGCACTCACAGATTGGTTTAGAGTAGAAAATCACCATTTAATATAGGTAATAGGCACTGGGGAAAAACTGTAACATGTAACACGTAATGTACCATATAAAAGATAGAAAAGCACCATTTAATATAGGTAATGGGCATTGGGGAAAAACTGTACCCATGTAACACGTAATGTACCATATAAAAGACAGCAGCAGCCCTGGGCGGGGAGAGAAGAAGCAGTCGGGAGTCAGAGAGGATGTCAGGGTGTGTGTGTGCCTCTGCCTGAGCTGTGAGCAAACCGCAGCAGCCCCAGAAGAAAATCTTTTAGATAACTTGCAATAAACTGCCTTGAGACCGAACAACAGAGACTGCTGAGTTTTCTTTGGAAGCTCGGGTTGGAAGAGAGATTTTACCACCACACGAAACCCCTAAACCAGACCTGAGTTCCAACACCTTCCAGCCTGGTGGTTCTGTGGTGGCTGTGTGACTCACATGCCCAGCTGTGCGTGGAGCTCCCCTCCCGCTGGCCCGCAGGCGGGAGCGCAGTCGTGGCGCTCGGGGGCGGCGCAGCGGCGCGTGGATGCCAGCCGGACCTCGCCAGGGGCACACAGCTCGTCCACCTGCAGCAAAACCCACCCAGATAGGCTTCAGAGCTTCAGCTTCAGCTGCCAGGCTCCAGCTCAGCTGCAGCATCCCTAAAGTTCTCCTCCATCCCCACTGCTGCGCTTCAGACATTCCACATAAAGACAATCCGATGTTCCACATAAAGGCAATCCAACACTCCTCATAAAGGCAATCTAACATTCCTCATAAAGGCAATCCAACATTCCTCATAAACACAATCCAACATTCCCCATAAAGGCAATCCAACAAGGAAAGCATTGAGAAAGCACACTATGGGGATTCTGGAAGGAGTTTTGAATAAGTTAGAACTGGGACCTCTGAGTTTTTAGATGATGTGATTTATTTTTCCTATCTTCTACATAGACAGGAAGGGTGAGTTTGGCTCACATCTTCACTGCTTGGTTCTGAAGGTTACAAGACCCCAGTTACAAGGCATTTTAAGGATTTATTGACCAATAAAACACTGCCAACAAGGATACTTATGTTTTCGACCCAATCCTTAAATATTTCGCCTTATGGACTCATGCTACAGTGTGAGCTTTCTTAGCCAATCATGTTACGACACACAAACCTACAGTACTGCATTCTAAACTCATTTACCTCTATAGCTACTTTTATTTCTGTATCTTAAATTCTAAAACTCTCAACTTTCTTCTTAACTTCATATGTCTCTGCTTTAAACTATAAATACACGTTCTTGCTTCTAGCACCTAAGTTTGGAAGCCTTTTCCAAGGTCCCAGATCAAATCCTGTATTTAGCTCCAAGGTTTGGTTTACAGGTCCACAGTTCTGAGAATTCCCTGCATTTCGGATTCCAACAGCACACAACAATTTCACCTCCCAACCCCTCATGAGGTTCTAATTTTCTTCAGCTGTAAGAAAATATTTGAAAGAGCCAGGGTATAATTTTAAACAGTCTGGATTGCTGTGGAACCCAGGCCAGGAGGGGGTTTTGGACTACAGAAGTTCATTCAAAAAGAGGAAAAAAGTGGCATCATGCAAGATACAAACAAGAATTTTAGTGTCTCCCTTCCTATGGCAGTTCTAAAGAAGAACTTCATATTAAAGGAGGTTTAAATTCCTGCATCTGTTATCTATGTGAGACACTGTGCTGCTCCCACTGCCTGCCATGGAAGGATCCTTTGCTTCCATCCCTTGTGAATTTAAATTTGACCTCACAAGATCCTGGTAAGGAAAACCTCCTGCAACAAAAGGCCAATAAAACATCTCAGAGATTTGTTTGGCTTTGTTTAAGGCCTGAACACTCCCCCTTGCCTGCACATCACACAACAGGTTTGTGGTTTGTGATTTTACCTGAGGTCGGCAATCCTGATCGCTGTTGCTGTCAGGGTCTTTCTTGCCTCTCTCATCGTAATAAACATAACCTGCCTGGCAGATGCAGGAGCCATCTGACTGCTGGAAAGCTCTGTTCAGCCCGTGGCAGGTACAGCTGGTGGCACCTGGGAGAAGAGCTTGGATTTAGAGAGGGAATACAGCCTGGAACAACTGTGCTGGCTGGAAGGGAGCAGCTGCTGTGCTCAGAACTCTTTATCAAATCCCACTGCTCATTTCAGTGACACTGCTGGAGTCTGTGCCCCTCGTCCAGGGCACAGCTGAGCCACAGGACAGCCAGCTGGAGCCAGCCTGCACCAGCACAGCGTCAGAGCATCTCCTGCAGCACCCATTTAGCCAGAGATGCAGAAAGGCCCAGCTGCTCGTTGGCAGCAGGGTTTTGACAAGCCCTCCATTGATTTGTAGATGAAGGCTCTGGATGGGGTAAGGAGCCAGCCAGGTAGGGCTGCCAAGACCCTCTCTCATACCCCAACAGCCTCAAATCTGCCTGATTGGAAACACTGGGGCAATGCTGCACATACACTAAGTGAGGAATAAGCACACTTTATTTTTCCAGTTTCCATCCAGCCTTATCCTACTTTATCATGCCCTCAGTGCCCCATTTTGGCTCAAAAGCACCCCTAGATTTAATGCAATCCTCCCAAATCCTGGCTAAAGTATCTTGGTGAAACTCCACCGCTTTCAAAGCAATGATAGAGCAAGAATTAGTAGAGCTGCTCATCTCTCTTTTCCTTTAAGGAGACCAAATCCCCTTGGGTAAGAGTCTAACAGTGGGAAAAAGCTTTGGAATTGGAATCCCCCTCCTGGGTGGGACAGGGGAAGAGCAGCTGGGCATGGGCAGCACCCCCAGCTCCAGCAGGATCCCAAGGCTTGTGGAATATCAGGAAACACCAGAGGAGGAAAACTCCACTCCCAGACAAATACTCACCTGGCTGAGAGGAAGAAGAGCTGCCACAGGGGAAGCAGGCAGCCTGGGCAGGGAGGTGGTTGAAGGTGCCAGCAGGACAGGCCTGGCAGTCCCCTGGGTGCTTGGCAAAGTTGCTGCTGCCGTGGGTGCCCGGGGGACAGGGCAGCGGGGCAGGGGACAGCGCAGGGCAGTAGTGGCCACGGGGACAAGGCTGCTGGTGGTAGCTGTCACTGCCTGGAGAAAGGGGTGGCATTAGGGACCCCAGCAAGTGCTGGCAGAGAGGCAGAGAGCACTTGCTTGTCCTAGTGATCCATCTACACACGTCCCTCTAGATATAGACACGAGTCTATAGAAATACACACATGTGCAGATCAGATTTTTCCAGTCTAATTCATATTTAAATATAAATCTCAATTTTTCTTTTCCCCAGCTCTTCCACTGGGTAAATCCAGTGGCAGACCCACGTGACAGCCCACACCATGCTTTTATAACTGCAGAGGATTGAGAGCTTTGCCCACACAGAAATCAAAAGTATCTGCTCCCAATTTAAGCTGCTATTTCTTGCCCCACTCCCCTGAATTTACCTGGTGGGCAGGTGAAGCCAGCTGGGCAGGGCTGGCAGGGCTCTGAGATCAGGGGGTCACTGCGGAAGGTCCCTGCAGCACAAACTCTGCAGAATCTCTCAGCTGAGCCCCTCAGGCCAGGCAGGCTGAGGGCCATGTGCCCTCCTTCACAGGGCACGGGGTGGGCACTGCCCGGGGGGCAGTAGTATGGGAACACACACCTGTGAGTCAAAACAGGGCAGGGAGAGCGGAGAAAACCTCTGAAAATGATTCCTGGATTCAGTGGTCAGTGAAAACACAGGGCAAAACTAAAAGTGGTTGTGGGTATTCTCAGTTCAGTCAGAGAGAAAATGAAGGTTTCTAACCAGGC